GAAGATTTACATCGGGTTTCCAGGACATTAAATAATCAAGCTGTTTATCGCTTCCGTTTCAACTACAAACCCTATAGGAGGTGCCGGCGGTTTCCGAGACTGGCGAGCTCTGTTTTTTCGGCAAATTAAAGGCATGCAACTGAAATGAGCAATGACACTTTTTAGATAAAATAATGGCAATGTGCCAGAGCATATGCCGATTTAATTCAACCAAAAGATGTTGGACGACAAGGTAATGTATGGCAGTCAGGTACATTGCTCCGCCAATTTCGTAAAATGTTGCCATCATATCATTTATTTCGGGTTTATCATCCAGAACAAAGTTTAAAAGGTTATTGACATCATCACTTGTTGATTCCTCACGGTCGTCATTTTTGGTATTCAGCCTAGAGAGTGAAGTGAGGTAATCGTGCATTTGCTCGAAAACTGGCTGGAGCTTTTTCTTTTTCAAGAGGATACGCTTGCCTCCGTCAATAACTGAATATTTTCGGTTATTGTTTAGGAAAATTCGCTTGCAGCTATGTCTGGACGTCGAAGCCATTCACAGCTTCTTAGGTTTGCTCTGGCGCGAAGCATGGCTTCGTCTGACATGTGATGAACACGTCCGTAAGGGGAAAGGAAGTTGCTAAGAAAATGGTTGAACTAGTTTACTCCTTTTTCTTCGGGTCTTTGGTATTTCTGTTTTTTTGCAGTGTACATCTGTCGAAATAGTTGTAAGAATTAACGTGTAAATTCTAAATGATAATTTAAATGGCTGGGGAAAATAGTGAGTAATCTCTTGGTTAAAGAAGGATACATCTAGGAGGCAATATTGAGGTTAAATGTTATTGTAAAGAGTGTTTTATTTAGCAAGGCGGAGTATTTTTCTAGCCTTACATCATCTTTTTATTTTATTGAAGCATTGTACTTCAATTCATTTGTAGTGCAAGAGAATATATGCAATTCTTTTGGCACAACTATTATGAATTGGTCGCATTTCTGTTGATAATATTTTATTAGATTTTCATTTCTTTCTAAAGTTGTTACATTAATAAGCACAACAAATAGCTAGAGCTCTGCATACAGTAGATCAAACTGTCAGTGAGTCCAGAACAACATTTAATTCCGCTAGGAATAAATCAAGAGAGCACATTCTCCAAAACGTAACAAAGTTTCCCTGTACTCAAATCAAGATAGGCCAGTTTACAAACGAGTTTCCCTCCATTGCTCTACGCGTGCGCTACCCTATATTTAAGAATTAAAAAACGAGTCGCGTGCCTTTATGGTGTAATAATGCACGATGGTGGAATGTTGGGAGAATACGAGAGAAGCTTGTAAAACACGAGGCGTAGCCGAGTGTTTTACAAGCTTCTCGAGTATTCTTCCAACATTTCCCCGAGTGCATTATTACACCATAAAGGCACGCGACGAGCTTTTTTAATTCTTTTATAATATAAGAAGAAATTATAGGGCAACAACAAAATTTATCTATTTGATCAATAATAAAATTCTCCTTACATATTATTTAAGATGTTGCTTAGCAACAAAAACTTCAAAAGCCAGAAGCGTGCATTATGGCCTCACAATGCACGCGCGGTAGCCAATCAAATTGCTCGTTATATCATACTTATATTATAAATACCTATAACGTTATCTACAAATAAACTAATAATAATGCACGCAAGCAATAAACTTATTATTCGCTACAGCAAATAACTCCTTTATCGCTTCTGTTTCAACTAAAAACCCTTATAGGACTGGTGAGCTCTGTTTTCTAGGCAAATTAAAGGCATGCAACTGAAATGAACAATGACACTTTTTGGATAAAATAATTGCAATGTGCCTGAGCACATGCCGATTTAAAGTTCTTTCAAACACGAGCCCGCCGCCTCGGGAGACAACACAGATAGTGTTAACTTTAATGGTTTATTTCACTTACAATGTACAAACATGTATTCAAAACAAAGACGACATATTGTCAACGTATCTGAAATGTTTCTCGGTCACGTGTCCGTAATTATCTACGTCCCTCAATATCAATGTTTCTTCTAATATACTGTTGCATTGTTACTGATTTTCTTTGTTGCGAGCTCTTGTAGTACGTAGGCTGTGCTCTTGCTGTCGTAGCCAATAAACTTTGCTTTCACTGATCTGGAATCGAGCTTTCGTATGTTCACCTTTCTTCTCTTTACATAGACTGTGCAACCAAATACTCTGAGGTTATTTCTTCTACTTGTTTTCCCTGTGAAAAACTCTAAAGGACTTTTCCTTCGTTGCTGTTTGCACTCACAGTTAGGTTTCGGATTTGTCTCCCATAAATGAGTTGCGATGGAGTAAGTGGATACGAAATCTCTTCTTGATCATCATATAAATATGTGAGGGGTCGATTGTTAATCGTTGTTTCAATCTCTACTAACAATGTTCTTAAGGCTTCAAAGTCTAAGGAGGTCGTTCCAAGGCTCTTTTTTAAACATCGTCTCGTGCATCGATTCCATGGGACTTTCTCAATGATAAATTCCCAAAGGACGCCTGTTTTTTCCAGTTCTCGTTGAACTTCTGTGGAACGTAGAATTTTCTTTATTTCCTTGGAGGCACAGTTGAAGGTTTCGGCATTACCGCTTAAAACTCGGAAAGGGAGCCCTCGTCTGGCAGAAAATCTTCTAAAGGCTTGCAGGAGGGACGGAACTGACAAACTATCACCGAGTATAGCACGGGTAGAAGCGCAATTAAATATACATATATAAACCTTCTGGGTAGTTTGGGTGGTAGTAGCGTAGAGTGGACCAGCAAAGTCAATACCTAGCTGTATTGCTGAACGGTGGCTGGTCACTTACTCGACACAAAGGCAACGGAGGTTTGCCTTCAAGCCTTTTACAGGTCACACACATTCGTACTATTCGTTTCGCGGCTTCACGCCCCGTAAGAATCCAATATCTTTCGCGAACACAGTTTAAGTTTGATAAAATACCATTGTGATGGACAGTTTCGTGGCTCTCCCGAATTACGAGGTCGGTAAAAGGGTGCTTCGGGAGAGCAGAATCGGTTGCTTGACAGGTTCTGGTGGCTTCCTCTTCACGAATCGGCTCTATTTCAACTGGACCGAAAGAGGAACATCTTCGGCATACTTTGCAGCTAATATCTTCCGAACAGCTTGGCATTGTTTCGCCTTGTCTGCATTGAAATCTACATTTTGATAGTCTATCTGAGTTTTATACTCTATATAACATATCTTTTACCATCTCGACGCTCCATGAAAAACGATTGTTAGCATTCTCATCCGAGCAAAATGTGAAACCATTTGTGAATCAGCGAAACCGTTTGTGCCAATGTTTAACAATACTCGTTAATAGTTCTTTTTCCTCAAAGTGAACATTGAACCTTTTTAAATGAACATTGAACATGCGCTCGATAACAGTGTTTTTAAGTTTAATCGGATGGAGTAAGAAGTTTGAGATGTGTAGAAAATTTATGAGCATCTCTTTGCATTTAGTGGGATTTAACTTCATGTTATGATTCATAGCAAAATTATGTATATCGGATGCAGCATGGTTTAAAAGACTAATAGAGTTTCTTGGGATAATCTCCAAAGCAAACGTATCGTCAACAAATTTAGTACGCAGGTTCCATTCGGAGAGCAGGTTATTGGTCATAACTATAAAAAGGAGTACTCCCAGTTTGGTCCCCTAGCTGGTAAAGTGTAACCAGATAAAGTGTCAGTATACCACCTAACCAAGTCTTGTTAAATATACCAGGAAGTCCTGGTTAAAGAATATTAACAACAGTTCCTGATATTAACCAGGTAAATGATTCGTTTTCCTTTTCTAATTTGGTTACTTTATTTCTTAAACGATCGAAGTCTGCTTCTATATCTCAAACACTCCAGTCAGTGCCTCTGGCTCTTCAAAATCAGTCAGACATATACCAGAGTCGTCCAACCTGGATGCAGAATTAATGGGTGAATAGATGCCAGTAGCATAATCCACTTCGGTGCCGAAATCATCGAGCATAGTTAATGCTGTTCTGACGACGCTTCCTGTAGATCTTTTCCCATTTTGTTCTCTCACGGTGCATTTCATTTCGATAAGACTCTTGCTGTTAAGAGAGGGCATGTACTGCCCGTTGTCTTTTCGTCTTAACGACAAAGCTAGTGGACGCCATCCCGGCTTCAGACTCTTTCGAAACATTTCTGGGTACCTGCAACTCATGCATTTTCCTATACGTACGCGAATGGCTGATTCCAGGGGACGGCTGGTTTTGTGGAATCTGACTCGACGAATCATGTTTGGTACTGTTATCGCTGCATGTCGATGTTGGGAATACGTTTCCAAATGGAGTGTTCCGAATTATTTCCTGCCCTGCCAATAACGCGGACGAATCAAGCAATTTCTTCTTGTTTGGTGTCTTTGTCTTTATCTTTCCTGCCCTGCTTTGGGCGCCCTCCCGTTTCCTTTTGATACCCGTTTCATTTGACGGCTAGTTGTGCCAGAGACGTTTGGCTTCCAAAGGCCAATCAGTTCGTCCAACGAGAAGTTTTAGTTCACAAAAGGGACATCTGGTTGTTATCGATGTTTCATTAAGGAGTTCCTTCCAACATCAAAATTATAATCCTAAATTACTGCATGCACGTTTGTGTATCGTCTTTCATCAGTATAGCTTAAATTTCTAAATCGATTTTAGTATTCGAACGTTTTTACTATAAGTCAACATGGATGTCTATATTCAAGTTCTTCACGAACTTCTCTATGTAAAGATTTGCTTTATGTAAAGATGACTCCGACCCGCTTGTTAGTATTAACGTACTGTTACGCAAGGCTTCAATGAGTTTAGAGATATGCATATAGAAATAGCTGTAAAAATAGGAATATCAATAGCATGACAGGGATTAGTGAATGATTTTCGCCACAAGACGCCTGAGTAAATATAATTTTCGGCCATTAACAAACATTAATCGCCTTTCCCTTTCATGTATGACATGTCGTGGGATTTAATAAGTAATAAGGTAGAATTTTTAAGTGATACAACATACATATATTTAGATTATTTTGATTCTATAAAATATTAGAAGTGTAAAATTATTAAATTATCATCGTAATTAAGTTTTTACCCATTTTTTTTATCTACATTGTATGGTTGGTAGCCACAGCCGCGACTCCTGTTTTTCCGTTTACTCCTGTCAACAAATGGCTTGGATGTTGGGCACCAATTGGGTTTTGGGCTGTTGTTCCAAGTTTCTGTGGTTTGTTGACTGCAGGTGTTCCAAAAGCCTGTGGTGTCTTTGCTGAGGTGTTCGGCTGTTGGTTTTGCTTTACGGTGATATGGTTTGGATCTTTTTTTCTCTCTTCTGCTGTGTCTACAGCGCATTGGGAAGCGTGGGTGTACTGATGTATAGTTTGCCTCTGATGTTGTTTGAGGCTGCGTTGCTGGCTGCAATAATAAGTAAAAATTGTTAGAATACAGTGCATTCTTTCACTTGTTCAAATGAGACTTGTTGAAAACGCTTAAATTTGTAGGTTTTTGACCGGAAAACAAATTATTTGATCTACAGATTTCTGCATGAGGTGAAAAGTTTTTTTTATGAATTCCAGAGATGCATCAAAAGAGAGTCGTTTAATTTAAACTCAGCCGTGTTTCAGGCTGAAATGGCTTCCTATATTACTGTGGTGTCATAATTACAATGGCTTTTTTTCATTCAGATCTGCAGTAAGAACAGCGTAATAATAGCTTACCATCCAGGGTTGCTTAAAGTTGTTGTTCAGGATCTAAAATACAGTATTTGAAACAGTTTTCAATGAGAAATTGAGATAATGTAAAACAGCAAATGTATATAAGAAATTGAGATTTATTTTCACAACTAAAAGCCAAAAAGGTGAATATATATATGACACTGACCCTGAATAGTTTGGCTATTAGTGTTTGAACTAAGCGTACATCAGCTGGGTACATCAGTGAATAAACGCTCTAGAAAAATAAGATAAATTTCTGTATGACACTAACGATAAAACAGCTTTTGAAATGCTAGCACAAAAACAAAAACATTTCTGGGCTGCATGCCTATATATGGCTATGCTGATACTGACCTCAACAAAGAACTTGATGTTTTCGTTAAGAGGTTTCTGAGTTTTGTAGATATGGTTGAGTTGTAGAAAAAACTAAAATAATGATAAAAAGTTTTAGCCCTATCGCTCCATGGACTTACGGAAAGAAATTCCTGGATGTATATGAATAATACGTGAGTCGTTTTGCCGTCTAAAAGGATCAATGTTGCGATACTCACAGGACGACCCCAAGATTGTTGGTAACCTGGTGTTAATGGAAGGTAATATATAGGATTAATTCCTTGTAGTAGCGAAACATAAAGCTCAAAGTTCAGCTGACTTCAAAATGAATTTCATTCACTTAGAAAGTGGTTGATATTTATCGTATTTAGAGGTGTATTTCAGTTACTAAAACGATGAATTATATTTATCCTTTGCCGCGTGCACAAACCTGGCGCCGTTCCCTGACTTTTTCCATCACATTCCGTCTCCGTGTCCGCCTTTGGTGTCTCTGATGATGACGGTGTCTCTGATAATGACGGTGCTTCTGATGATCCCGGTGTGTCTGATGATGCCGGTGTGTCTGATGATGACGGTGTCTCTGATGATGCCGGTGTCTCTGATGATGCCGGTGTCTCTGATGATGTCGGTGTCTCTGATGATGCCGGCGTCTGGGATGATGCCGGAGCCTCCAAGTTAAAGGTTTATCAAAAAATGCAACGTAAAAAATGATTGATCTTCAGGTTGTCTTCGGGTTTTCCTTTCCAGGGATTGAGTAATCTCTACTTCACGCAGTGATTCTACAATGATTGTTCACATTATAAGACAGATTTAGATAGAGGACGGGAACGCCAAGAGTACGTCAAAATATTACGCGAGATCTGGTTCGAGGACGTCGTCGTGTTGTTGACAAAAAGAGATTTAGATTTTTATATAGGACGTCAAGAGTACGTGGGATATTTTTTTGGTTTGGAAAATGCATTTTTATTACCGAATACTTGTGTGTTAAATTTATTTCAAGTAAAGGATGATGAACAAAAGGTTTACCATAAACAGAGTTTAAATATATAATGAAAGCTGTATATGTATGTTATGAACTAATGCAATGAGTATCTACGGATTGTCAATGAAACTGAATATAATATATAAAAACTAAAATTTACCAAAAAAATATTTATTTTTATTTCCATGTTACCTTTAAGATTGTCCCCAAAGATGTTTTTAAAATAAAATTTCAGTCGTTAAATAGCGTTAAATGCTCTCGTGATATTTGCTGTATTTGTTTTTTTATCAACGGTTCATGACAATTTAGACATTGGTTTGGACAAAATGAGTTTGCAATCTGTTCGTGATGCTTTAGTTTTTACGCGAGCTCAACGATATATATCTGATGCTGACTTTATTTTATTGTACGATTACAACTGGTCGAAACCGCTATTCCCTTATTGGAAATTCGAGTCCTTTAATGTTGATGCTTTGGATGACGAGGAATGCAGGACTGAATTACGGTTTGCCAAGAAAGACCTACCTTTACTGAAGCAGCTGTTGGGAATTCCTGAAAAAATGACATGTGAACAAGGCACAACATGCTCTGGAGAAGAAGGTCTGTTCATTTTGTTGAAACGATTTGCTTATCCATGCAGATACACCGATATGGTAAGCCGGTTTGGGAGGAATCCAACAGAATTGTGTCTAATATACAACAAAGTATTAGACTTGGTGTATGAGCAGCATCGTCTAGAGTCTAGAGAGCTGGAATCAGCCTTTTTTGTCTCCAGAAAAGCTTCAAAGTTATGCTGATGCAATTCATACAAGGGTGCCCCACTTGACAATTTTTTTGGCTTTATGGATGGGACTGTTCGCCAAATTGCACGACCAAAGTACCATCAACGAACTATGTACAATGGTCATAAAAGGGTGCTCGCAATAAAATTTCAAAGTGTAGTCGTGCCAAACGGTCTAATTGCAAACCTTGCTAGACCCTTCGAAGGTAAACGACATGATAGTACTATCCTACATAAATCAGGTCTTTTAACAAGCCTGGAACAGGTTGCCTTCTACAATAACCAACCTCTCTGCATATATGGTGACCCTGCTTACCCCTTGAGAGTCCATCTACAAGCACCATTTAGAGATAGGGAGCTAGCACCCGAGATGATTGAATTCATGCAACCAAGAGATAAGTCAGGTGCGAATCTCTGTGGAGTGGATGTTTGAAAACATTACAAAATATTTTAGATTTGTTGACTTCAAAGCACTAATGAAGTTACATTTGAGTCCAGTTGGAAAGATTTACTGTGTTGCTGCATTGTTACAGAATGCTCACACATGTTTGTATGAGAACCTTGTTTCTCATTTTTTTGGTCTTCAACCACCATCAGTTCATGAATATTTCTGGCAATGAGTTGTGACCTAATCTATAGTTTGTTTACATAAGTTATGCCAACTAGCTAATTGCCTATATTTTTATATACTTTTATATACTATATATATATTATATATATATATTTTTATATACTTTTATATACTATATATATATATGTATATTTTTATATACTAGCCAATTGCCTATATTTTTATATGCATATTTGTCAGGAAAAATCAAATAATTTATTTAATATTGTTCAAATTGTTAATACACAATGTAATTGTAAATAAATTTTGTAACATGAAAATTTATAAATATTTTTTATATTCTTAGGATATAATAAAGTTATAAAATGTCTGTTGAACAATGACACAAAGTACCATGCATGTTCTTAATTTATTTTTTAAGCATGTTTGCCAACATTTGTGTTTGCTGCTGCTGCATTAAAGCCAACATTTGCTGTTGTAGAAAACCAAATTCTTGCTGGTGTTGTTGTTGTTGTTGCATTTGTAATTGCTGTTGTAGATGTTGCTCAGATAGATTCATTTGCATGCTGAACTGTTGCTGACTCTGTTGCATTACCTGTAAAAGTTCTAAATGCTGGTTCATTTGCATCTCCACATGCTCCCGTTTTTCCAATTCCACCCTCTGCTGTAACCACTCCATCATGTCTCCAGATCTTCTTCTCCTCTGAGGTGGACCACTCTCACTTGTCATTCCAACCCTTTTCTTTGTTTCCCCCAACCTATCCATTGCTCGTTCCCTCATCTCCAATGCCTGCTCTCGTTCATTCTCGATCCTCTGACTTCTTGCTGCGCACTCTGTTTCCATCTGCCGATCTGTCTCGTCCTCAATATTGATTAGTTCTTTCATCAGTTTTTCGTACTCCGTCATTTCTTCACCACATTCTCCTGTAGCTCGCTCTTCTCTAGCCATTTGGGCACGATATTTCTTTGCTGCCAAACTGTAGCGCTCTCTGACCCCCCTCAAAGTGACTGTCTGACCCAAAGTACTGACATTATCAGCTACACTTTGCCACCCCAGACCACGTTCTCTTGACCTTTGCTTATGTGTCAGAACACCTAGATCTGGCACTTCCTTCAACAGTACTAGGTTTTTGTTATTACTTAAGCAGTAGTGAGCAAACTATGGGCGATATTGCTGAATAAATAACCTACATTTGGGGCAAAGTGAGAGCTAAATGCATTGGCATATTAAGCTGTATATATATTAAATAAAATTTATTAAATTGTGCAGAGCTTTGATGTGTGTACAATACCTCTTGTTTGGGCAATCCTTCTTGTCTTCTATAGAGCAAATGGCACTTACTCAAAATCAATAATGCTGAAAAAAGACAAACGAAATTAGGAAATGTTGTGTCAAGAGTGAACAAATTATACTCTGCCTGTATGAATATACGTGAAAACGTAAACAATCTGTTTGAAAATCATGTTAAATGTTGAACAAAACCATGAAACGTCAACTGTTTTTAAAACCACAAAGTCCACAATTCACAAACGATGAACATTATTAGTTATTGATGATTGTAAATGCGTGTATCTTTAAAACCATTCTGATGGATCTATAGTCCTGGGTAAAAAGTGTTAATCTCGATCTACTAAAACACTGTGAATAAAATTACGCAAAATGTGCATCATTTTGTATGCTAATTAGCACATAATATTCAAAATAATGATAAAATAGTTGCTACTGCGAATTATTTTAAAATCATTTGTTGTGTACGTACCTTTTTGATGCAAAAAAACCCCCCAAAAAACCCGACGTCCTAAACACAACGTGAAAATTTGATTTTGGCGTCCAGAAACCTGACGAGAGGACGTCGTCAACAAAACAACGCCAAATTTTCGCGTCATATTGCGCGATCTTACGTACTCTTGACGTTCCCGTCCTCAATCTAAATCTATCTAATATTAAGATCAACACGGCTTTGAATGGCACAGTAGGTTTTTTTCACTGACCTCCAAGAAGTGCTTGGTGTTGTCTAGAGATTGCTGTGATATTTTATACTTCTATTTATCTCAATTGAGCGATACACGAGACATGGCCTGCCTAGCCCAGGGCCCCAGTCGTTGGGTCAACATGTGTAAACAGCATCATATATCTAAACAGGAGATTGCATGCTTATCCCATCAAAGTTGGCTCTTGTGTTTGTCTCCTGTTTCTTTTCCTTCTGCGTCTAGGACAACAGGTGAATAAACATTTTTCCATTTCGAAAAAATTGTAAAATATCGCTCTGAAAAATATCGCTCCAAAAAATTTTGCTCTGTCGTAACTGACTTTTACAAGCAAAATGAGGCAATTAACTTGCGTAAGACAATGGGCGACTTGCGCCTTTCGCAAAGCATCACGGTAGTTTAGTTAGGCCAGTCGAATTTACTAAGATGGAGGTCGTTCTTGTGCGATCGCCGTTTGCAGTGAACTACAACACTTTTTCGCAGATATTTATCACTTATGTCTACGGTAAAAGGTTATAAAAACTCTTAGAGAACTGATATGTCGTAGAAGGCCAAAGTTGGGACTGTACTTGCTTTGGATTTTAAGATATTTAGCGTGATTTGACGGGGAGTAAAATACAAATACGAAGTGGCTAGACAGCCGGCAGCCGGCTGTATAGTTTTTACTTGTCAAGCCTAAATAACCGGCAGCCGGCCATATTGTTGCTTGAAGTCAGCTTGAAATACTAAACGGCCGGCAGTATTCTTCGTTTGCGATGGCGTAATTTCGGGATTTCAGTTGGTGTGCAAGTATGAAGAAATATATTTTTGTAAGGCTTCTAGTCAATATCGTTGCTGGAACCAAAAATTATGTAGTGCCAGGTTTGGTTAATATTAAAGTATGTATATAGACTGTATAGACGGGTTGCAATGTTTGTGTTGGAGGCGGAAGTACTTATTATTAAACTACAAAAATTAATGATTGGTCGCTTGATGTTGTTAAATCTATGTTAGTGAAAATGATTTATTGATTTCTCTTCTGCCTCCAGTGCAATCTAAACAAATTACGTCACGAGAAATCCATCTTTACATCAAAATGTGTAAATATGATTTTAGTTATCAAAATATTATTATTAAGTATAAGTGTTCATTGTCTTATATACCAAAGTCTAGTAATTAGTGACCAGTTTTATACGTGCTTAGCTTTGCATTTGCTGCAAAACCAATTCCTTGTCTTGGGTGGTCTTTTCAGTGAAGTACATTTAATATGATACCAACACAGGCACCTTTCACATGCTACACTTTCATCTTTGCTGCTGATTGTGGTTGAACATCCAGGACATATCCACTTTGTCTTGTTCTTTTTTTCACTGACATTAAGAACAACTTTCCATGCATTGGCAACAAAATATTTCTCAATCCTATTCAAATCGACATTCTCTTTGTCACGAATCATGTCTGGAAGCTTAAGAGGATTTGTTTCGACTTCTTCTGGTGGTATTAAATCACCACTTTGGATTGCGTTGTTAGCAACTGAACAACGGACAAAGCACTCTAAAAGAATCCTGTCCTTTTCTACTGCTTTCACCTTGCAAAATGGCAGCAACCCTTTCTTTGCTTTCTTTACTTTGGGTAGCCCAATGACAGTTAATTCCGCTCCTTTGGGCCTTCCTCTCTTGAGCATTTTCGGTGGCATTTTTATGTTTTTAAGCTCTTTCTGCTTGCAATCATTTTCTTTGCTCTTTACTTGTGAAGATGTACCAGCAGTCTTAGACTTATCAGCGAGGATGGTGGGAGAAGTTTTGGCAACGTCACCTGGAACATTTGATTTGTTTTTGTTTCTACTGGCCTTCTTTTGATCACGGGGAATGGGACCAAAATCTCTTTTATCATAGGGTATGTCATGATCTTTGTTACGAAAATGTTCGTTTTGGGTTTTGGTGGGCTTTTCTTCATCAATATTTGTTGTGTCTTCAGTGTTGCTGCATCTTCCAAGACTGTCTTGTGCTTGCCAAAGGTTGAGAATTTGTTGCAGATCAGCCATTCTACTGTCAAATGTCTTCATTCCGCCTTCACTTGCCAGTGAAGCCAGGGTTCGTGCCACATTCATTGCCTTGTGGAATTTCTGGGCTTGCGTCAAAGTGGTAGATTTCTCTTTACTTTCATGAAGGACATCGACGTTGCTGATGCCGCATGTGGTTGGCACATTGGCTGCCTCAGAAGCTTTATTATAGTATTCAACGGTCCATCTGGCAGAGAGGAGGGAAGGATCAAATCGAGATAACTTAAGCGCAGTTCTGGCTTTAAGGATGTGTCTACATGGAAGTCCCATTTTCACAGGATACGTGCATTGGCAAGTGTTACCTGACACTGTTACTTCACCATAGGTACAACTCTTTATTAAAACTTTGTTCTCGGACAAAACCTGTTGTACGGTTAAACGTTTGGCAAGTTCAACTTGACGCTTAAGGTGTTTGAAAGCGTATGGTGTTAGAACTTCAGCATATGTGCGGATGTCCTCCTCACACGATTCAATTGATATGGGCTTGCGTAATGTTGCCATAATTTTCTGGTGTGTCCTTTCATTCCGCAATGTTCCAAGGAGTGCAAACATTTCTGTAAAAAATTGTAAAAGTGTTGCATAGCGAGAGCAAACACTTTTAATCTTCGCATTAGCACTCTCTAAACGATTGTTGGTTGTTTCACCAAGGTTAAAAGTTGAATCCTTAAAACAAGAAACCCATTGCTCTTTTATAGGGTGCCAATTGTCAAAGAAATAGTTTCTTACAGCTTTTGATTTGGTTTCCTTTAACAGATTTACGTTTTCTTCATAGGCTTCTTCTGTTTTGGAATAAATTATTGCGGTTAATATCTCAAGAACTCTGTCCCGTTCACCTGACGTTATCCCCATTTTCTCAACTGTTATCTCCCTTCTGAAAGTTCGAAGTGTATGATAAAGGCATATAAGTAGGGATGCGCTGGGAAAGCATTTGGCGAAGGCTTGACGTTCTGTGAAATCCTTGTCGGACATGATTACTGTAGTCCTTATCCAAGCTGGATTGTGCCTTTTAAATGTTCCATGGCTGCTGTTATGACAGTTTCACTCTCTTCAGCAACGATTAGAAGGGCGACAATATCACTAAGGCCATTTCCATCCACTACCATCAGCACATAGAGTGGCATTCTCAAATCAAGAAGTTTGTAAGTAGCATCCACAAGCAGGAGCTCAGGAAACCTGTCGTACGCATGTTTCATGTACTGGTCTTGAAAGAAAAGAGACTTAAAATTGCTGTCTTCGTCCGTTGCTACTTCTACAACTGCGCCTTCTTTTGTCTTCAGATAATCCACGACGACGTCAAGGTCATTGCTATTTATTTTCGACTTGGTTTTGGTTTTCAAGTTTGAAATATCCTTTAATGTTACTCGCTGTCCTGTCGTGGTTTGTATTTTCTGTTGCAGCAGTTTGTTGTTAGCTTTTAGGCGCACTGCACCTTGGATTTCCTCTTTCAGTGCACCAGTGAGCTTTCGCTGACGAGGTAGATGTTTGTACAGTTCTTCTGACAGAGAATGGTTGTGATCCATGGTCATTTTCATAACTTCTAACGCTTTTCCGTCCGTGGACAAAACAATATAAACTTCGAACTGACATCCTTGTTTAAAGGTTTTAGTATCACGCTTTCTGTCGTCTCTATTCTCTGCTTTTCTTCCTCCAAATTTGCAGCTTAATTTCAGGGAGTAGTACTGGAGGCTCAACTCAGCATTTGCTACTCGTTTGGGGACTCGCTTCTGTGCAGATACAAGGGTTCTGACATCTCGTTTCCACAGCTCGCAAAAGTGAATATCCTCATATTTGGCTTTGGCCTCATTAAAGTCATTTACAGTATAGAACTTTCTACCAACGTAAAATATGTCATTACTAGCATCTTGATCTACTTCTTCTTTAATCGAGAGGATGTCACCTGTTTCACTTAAGGGGGAGGATTTAACTACATCATCTGGCAACACTATCGCAGTCTGTTCTGGTGATGTTACAGATGGTCGCTCTAATGCGCTAAATGTGAAGACATATGAAAATAGTTAAAGTATTGAATTCAATGATTGCACACTAAACATCTCAGGAGAGAATAGAATGGATTATGATGAATAACATGCTTAGAAAACTTTAATACTTGAGTGGTAGCAGGCAACATGGCAACATTGTGACGACTAATCAACTGTACACTACACTACTGTATAAATTATACTGTGACAAAACTGGCAGATCATTACCATGCTTTAATTTCTTTGTTTCTTATTTCATTCACCATATCCAATCGAATTTTTGCTATATCTTTCTATAAATGCAAATATGTATAACAGCTATGGTGCTTAATGAATTACTTTACATACTGTTAAATTAATAAGCACATATACTGCACATAATAAACAAACACACAGCAGCTATGCAGGACTATGATGGTTGTGTATACGTAAAAGTTTAGGAGACCAATTACTGCAGAACCAAAACTCAAAACTAAGAAACCGACACATTGCCATCACAGATATACTACACCATGTAACTAACAAACTAAAAATCCAAAGGCAAGGATACAAGGCAAAGGTAGTTAATTAAATGCAATACCTGGTTGAATGAGAATGGCTGTTGAAATACCAAATGCTTCATGTACTAGTTGAAGAAATAGAAAACATTATGGTTAAAAATATTATTGCCCTCAAGCTTGCCCAGCAAATAATATTTGACAAAGGCATATCAAAATTGTATTGAGCAACGTTAAAACGAAACGTTACTTGAATAAAATTTTATTAAATTATTATGCCTCTTTGGAGTATTATTTGCTGGCCAATAATATTTTTTACTAGAATTTATTTTCTGCCTGATGTTTTTATTGCTAAGGGACCGGTCATTAAATATGGTAGGTGGGGGGGGGGGTGGAGGAGAAACCCAACATTTTGACACAAAAAAACCACAAAAGTTGTATACTTTTTCAAGACCTCCCCATATTTATCTTATATTTTTTGAAGACCCCCCTCTCGATCCTTGGTCCTCTTGAAAATTTAGTTTTGTAGTAAACATGCAGTATGGCCAGCCATACTGCATTCTTACTACAAAACTGAATTTAAATTTTCAAGAGGACATCCATCTATTTCTTATAGCTATTTCTTATAGACATTTCTTATAGTTTAAAAAGACATACCAGGTTTAATGATCATAGCATTTTAATACTGATTGCCTATCATAATTGTTTTGCATATTACAGTATACCCTGACACAGAAATACTCCACAGTCAATGTAGTTGTCTTGTTTCGGAATATCCTAATAAATTGTGTCAATGAACAAAATAATATTTAATTAACATAAACTGCCTCCGTTTCTAATCACCAGTCAGCAACATTTAATTATAACATAAAGTTAGCCTGCTCACAGCAACCAGGTATCTCTGTCACTTAGAAATTCAAGACCCAATGTTTCATCCAAGTCTAGTGTCGGGGGTTATCTGAAGTAACAACTTTAAGGATCTTTATGAATACAGTGACATCATTGACCAACAAGGTGAAGATACTCTAGCAGCCAATAACAATAGCTACTACCTGCTCTAATCATAGCATTTTGGTTGCAAAATAATAATTTTATGTTACTATAAATTTTATGTTACTATATGTGGCCGAGGGTCAATTAAATCATCCAAAGCTGACTAATACCACTTTTTAACAATGAACATATATCAGTGCATGATCTGTCTTGCTCGCTGTTATGCTACAGTGATCTGTCTTAATTGCCTTCCAACGTACTGCTATATGCTATGCACATATGACAGCTAGTAACTTACTTTTGCAGTCCCAAAACTCCAAGACTCTGAATTATGTTCAGGGTATAGGTGAGTAACAAGTTTTCTAAAAATAAATGTGTATTTAGACAAAGTACATAATTAACAGGACTGCATTTATACTCATTACTTCTGAATTGACGTATTACCTTATTAATTTTAAATGATCCACAACATAGTCAGGTATGCAATCTGTACCACCCAAGGAGTCATAGTAGGTGACAACTTTATTTCTTTTGTCCACCACCTTTGGTTAGATACAAAATTACTTAATTACATGTACATGTGAGCTAAAATATACTATACAATATGTCATATGTAGTACACTAATAAAGTAGTCTACTCTGCTAGTCCATGCATGCACATGTCATACATACACATAGTGTCCAGTGTTTATCTTCATTGATAGGGAACATGAGCAAGTCACTTAGAACTGAACTATCCTAAAAAATACAAAAAATTATTATTTTTTATCATATGTAATTAACAGTTGACTATCTAGCAATATCTTGTTATTTCTCAACATAATTATAGTGTTGCAACATAAATAATGCATACAATTTAGAGCAGTACTACTTAATTGATCGAGGTATTGTCAGTCACTTTTAAAAACAGAAAAAATGTAATTAACACATGATTGTTTATTATTTTGTTTATTGTTTTACCACCTACAGAGATGCACCATTCCTTTTTAGACTTTCGGACTAGGCAAGTTAAACAGTATAGCTTAATCCCCTACTACTTTAAAAAAAGGGGTAAGCATTTTCCACACAAATACAAAAATATAAAAAATTTGCCAACATCACAGGGCTATATATTTTCTGTATTTTACATGTTTTTTTCTGCTGTACTGTTAACTTTCGAAATTCAAAAGAGGAATGGCGCATTGATATTATTAATAATATAGCCTGCAAGCAGGCTCTCCAGTTGCTACAGGTGTACCTTGTCCATCCATCTAGCAAATGAATTGGAAAATTCCTCTTTTTTAAACTTTGTGAAACAGAAGCTGTTTTTAATTGTGATTGATACATTCTGTAAGAGACAATATACATATATATACCAATAATTAATTAATCAATCAATTATAACATTAACATATACAGTAAACCTAGCAATGCTCACCTATTCTAATTATTATCAGAGAACATGCAATGGAATATGATCAAGACACATATAAAATTCATAACACATGTACACTATTGTGTAGTAATACCATACAGTGCAATATCATGGACACCATGGTTGCCTTGAATGTATGCATGGTTTTGCAATTGGCCATGTATTCCTCAACAGCTTATAGTATAATAGTGTGTTTAGACATAGCATCCTTGATTAATTGATTATGAAGTGCATGCATGTATGTAGCATAACATAATGAATCATATACATACAGGCATCTTCTGTGCGCATTCTTGTAGAAGATTTCCATAGAAATTTATTATCTAGAAAGGAACCAAACAATTAATGATTATAAATTAGTAACCTCTAAGGAAAGCTTGCCTTATCCTTAAGCTGCAAAACTCTCCCTTAAATGAGTGTAAGTTCATCTGTTGGACAGAGTATAAATACCATACAGTAAACTAGTAATGTGGCAATGCATTGTAGTAATCAACAGTGGGTCAAAGTACGGCCCACCATAGAACTCTGCACCGTAATGGGAAGCACCAACAAGAACAGAATGATACAATACTGTAGGGATGGTACTGGCTGGATTATACAAAGCGGATTTAATTCCTTAGGGGTATATTTAGTCAGTTGGGGAGGGGGGGGGCTAGCAAATGTGTGGATGACCATTCGATGACCACTTGCACTATGGTTAGCTTTGCCATTGGGATTTGGGAAACAGTAGCCATACGCCAAATGGATTGTATAAAGCTTGTCTTACCTCGTCATTGAGCCACTGATTATTAGATACCTGTACTAGGCTTAGGTTGATATTTGCTGCGATCTCTTCTGAACAAATAGTTTAAAATTTAGTAAATAAAGTAAATATTTGAGTTTGAGCAAGATTTCTAAGTGTATTCCAATTTACCTTTACTGTTTTCAGCCATATGGATACAATCTTGGAAATTTGTATTACAAATTGACTTGTTGAATATTCCAACTTCCCGCCATCTGTATATACCGCGTAGGCGCGCAATAGCGTGTCTTTTTCGCGCGTCGCGCACGTTTTTGTTCCCAGGTTATTAGGGGCCAGACAGCGCTTTTGCAATAATACATATAAACAAAAGCTTCTGAGTAGTGGTTTTACTGGTTTATACGAGTCGCAAATATCTTGTACTCGAAACCATTTTCTTCAAACAGAGAATAACAAGTAAAAAAAGGGGAAAATATTCGGATTCCTCATGTATGACGGCTCAATTACTGCAAATTATTTATAAAACAACACGATATATATACAATGGCATTTAATAAACTTTATTCGTGCGAAAATACGAATTCTTGGCATTTTGTATTAGGATACTCGTGTAGACAATACGTGGATACTGCAGATTAGATAACTGCCGGCCGTTTAGTATTTCAAGCTGACTTCAAGCAACAATATGGCCGGCTGCCGGTTATTTAGGCTTGACAAGTAAAAACTATACAGCCGGCTGCCGGCTGTCTAGCCACTTCGATACAAATAGGGCTTCGATTTACAATGTGCAGGACAAGAATTGTATTTTTAACCCCTTTAGGAGGTAAGTTCATCACTAAAATTTCTATATAATATGTAAGGGAAACAGGATGCTATAATACAAAACGCGTTTCTGCGATCGGCGATTATGTACAAAATTTATGGCCGTGAATGTTGTTTTTACAAATGAGCTTACAACTACACATGCTTTGATCAAGCGTTCTATTTCAAACCAAAACAACTGTAAACCTTTGGCGGGAAAATATCCTAAAATTGTCTCAGACTGTTAAAGTAAAAGTATTTTCAGAAGTTTAAAAGCATATTTTGATATTTATTCACTGGGTATATCTATTGGTTTACTCCTTTGGAAAAAACGCAAACTCGTGCGTTGTTATTGTTTACATATTCGTCGCGGTTTCATTTAAATTTGGCGAATTTCCGGCCGAAAAAATGGAGCAAAAAGCGGATTGGTTTGAGTGCAAATGGACCCGAAGTCTTCAGGATATCCCTCCTTTTACTCGTGAACTTCTTGAGCGACATTTAATTGGTGAAACATCCCAAAAAAGCCCGAAGGCCAAACAACCAAATGCACACAAACACAAGAAATATGGCTATCAGTTGTTCAAAGATAAAATGGTTTCTAAGGTTAAAGTTATCCCTAATGTACTTCACCTAGGAGGAATGCTTTTTTATCTTAAGTGTACTGTACATGCTTCAATGAAAAAGATTGAATATTCAGTTAATGTGCACCTAAAACAAGATACTGGGGAAATGATTGAAGCTAGGTGCACTTGTGTAGCAGGAAATGGTGGCTGCTGTAAACATGTTGCTGCAGCTTTATTTCAAATGCTGGACTTCATTGAACTTGAACTTACAGAGGTCCCAGATGATTTAACATGCACGCAACTCTTACAAGAATGGCATGTACCTAGTTGTGAAAATATCAAAACAGCCATACTTTTTGATAGTGTAAAATTTAGCAAGGCAACATCTACAAAAAGTTCATCTCATTTAATTGAAATTAGTAACCCAGCTCCAGCATTTGCTCAAACTGTGACAGAGAGTGATATTCAAAAACTGAACAAAGAATTAAAAAGTGCTGGATCATGCAGCTATTTACAAAATCTCCTAGAATCAAATGAGTGTAAACCCTTTGATTATGATAATTATCTCAATGAGTTACCTACAAAAAGGAAACTTTATGAAGTTCACTGCAACACCAATCAGCTAAATGCTGTGGAAGTACGAGATGCAATTTTAAACCAGGTCACAACAGATCAAACTAACTTAAACAAACACATACCATCCCCAGAATACAATGAATTTGTTTTTGAAACCTTATACAAATCCAAAGAGCAGATACAAAACATTGAATGCAATACAAGAGGGCAGTCAGATGATGAATTATGGTATCAAGAACGTCGCATAAGATTAACAGCATCAAATTTTGGTTCTGTTTTGAAGCGCAGAGAGAGCATTCACCCAAAAACAATTTTGAATAAACAATTTAATTCCAATTGCACCAAAAGTGTGCCAAAAGCATGTTTATGGGGTCAAAACAAGGAAGAAATTGCCATCAAAGAATACATAGAAAAATGCAACCAAAACAATAATTTGATCAAAGCATGTGTGTCATGTGGCTTCATTGTAAATGGTCAAGTTCCATGGCTTGGTGCTAGTCCTGATTGCTTGCTGTATGATCCTACTGAGTGCACAAATTATGGAATTGGGGAAGTCAAGTGTCCTTTTTCAAAAAAGGAAATGACAATTGACAGTGCATGTGATGACCCTACATTCTTTCTTGAGCACAAATCAAAACCTACATTAAAGAGAAACCATAACTACTTCTATCAAATACAAGGCTTGATGGCTACTTGTAATGTTGAATGGGCTGATTGATTGTATATACAGAAAATGACCTTTTCAGTGAACGAATATATTTTGACACTGAATTATGGAATAAAACTATGCTCCCAAAATTAACATCATTTTACTTCACATACATATACCCTAAATTAGTGAACAAATAAAGCGTAAAAACTGTAGAACTGTTATTGTTTGTTCATTTACTCCTGTTCAGAATTAGAATTGATTAGAGGTGGCTGAAATAGTGTCAAGTAGGAACAGATGACCCATACTTTATTTAACTCTGATGCCATACTCAAAGGAAACACATTCTTTAAAATCCGAAAACATTTAATTCGTTGAATGGCACGTTCCACATGAACTCTAACTGCGGCTATTTTTCTTGTCTCATTTTCTGCCTGAATAGAGAGCTGCTGATTATTTAGGAAAGGGGGTATGTTCAGTTTTACCCCTTCAGGCATTTCATCCTCTATATCAAAGCCCTTATCTGCCATCAAATCATCACCTGCCTCTAACAAGTTTAAAATACCACAGTCTCTGGTGACTTGTTTGTCACTAGAGCGACCAGTGTAAAGCTCTGAAATAAATGTAGGGTATCCAGCAGGTGAAATGCCAATTAGCCCCTTTGCTGTGTTGTGGTTTTTATATGAGGAATAGGTTGCGGATTGACTACGAAATGATGTGGGTCTTTCGATAAAAAGTTCAGTGCAGTCTATGATAACACGTGTATTTGGGTAGGAATCTTTAAAAGCTTTTGGCATAGTGTTTTGAATATATTGACGTGAAGGCCAAATAGGTAGAGCTCTTAGCCTGTGATAAAGGAAAGCTAGCCAAGTTGTTTCAATTCGAGAATACTGGGCTGGTGAAATGCCAAAGCGAATAGCAACATCAAGACCCAATAAACCACAGCGCAATCTAACCAAAACCATGAATAACTCTTGTTCAGGTGTTAAGCTCCTTTGTGTACCACGTTTTGCTTGTGTCTCTGATGCATGTTGTGAATTTTTTGTTCCCGCATACATCAAAAGATTACAAGCTGGTTGCAAATAGTTGAAAAAGGCTTTGAAAGTTGTATAGTTGGGAAAACTGGTGTAGAATTTGAAGTTCGCATCACTAGCTATTACATGTTCTAAACGTAGTGCACATAACTTGTATTTGGTAGATAGCTCATCATGTTTAGTTTTCAAAGATGCATTTTCTTTTTTTAGCTGTTCAAGTTCGGATTTTAGTGCAAAAAGTTCACTATTTTCATTTGTTTGTTGCATGTCATGTTTCCCTGCGTGCTGTGTAGTGCTTATTCGCTTCATATTTTCAGTTACAATTCTTCCACATTTACTATTGGACGTTTGTCTATTTGAAAATGAACTAGACCTGGGCAGAGCCCCCAATACTTTTTTACCACCAGGAAAGTGTAAGGAGCAAACTTTGTGGCTTTTTAACGGTTGTTTGAAATTCCCAATAGATTTAACCACGCTTCTTTCGAACTCGGCTCCTTTGGAAACTTGTGAAATGAAACACCAGGTGTTCTCACACTATTACTTGAGCATTTAGGCACACAACAGGTAGTCCCTCCAGGTAATTTTGAACAAAGTTTCTCCGCTTTTTGCTCCATTTTTTCGGCCGGAAATTCGCCAAATTTAAATGAAACCGCGACGAATATGTAAACAATAACAACGCACGAGTTTGCGTTTTTTCCAAAGGAGTAAACCAATAGATATACCCAGTGAATAAATATCAAAATATGCTTTTAAACTTCTGAAAATACTTTTACTTTAACAGTCTGAGACAATTTTAGGATATTTTCCCGCCAAAGGTTTACAGTTGTTTTGGTTTGAAATAGAACGCTTGATCAAAGCATGTGTAGTTGTAAGCTCATTTGTAAAAACAACATTCACGGCCATAAATTTTGTACATAATCGCCGATCGCAGAAACGCGTTTTGTATTATAGCATCCTGTTTCCCTTACATATTATATAGAAATTTTAGTGATGAACTTACCTCCTAAAGGGGTTAAAAATACAATTCTTGTCCTGCACATTGTAAATCGAAGCCCTATTTGTATTTTACTCCCCGTCAAATCACGCTAAATATCTTAAAATCCAAAGCAAGTACAGTCCCAACTTTGGCCTTCTACGACATATCAGTTCTCTAAGAGTTTTTATAACCTTTTACCGTAGACATAAGTGATAAATATCTGCGAAAAAGTGTTGTAGTTCACTGCAAACGGCGATCGCACAAGAACGACCTCCATCTTAGTAAATTCGACTGGCCTAACTAAACTACCGTGATGCTTTGCGAAAGGCGCAAGTCGCCCATTGGCAATTAGGTTGCGCAGGGCTTGTGACGTAATTAAGAAGAGAAAATTTACGCGCGCTTCTCCCCTCGTGATGCCTTCGTGATGTCTTCGTGAATTTTTAGTTTACGTAAAAAGGAAGTTCGATCAGCAAAGTAGTTTTTATGCGAGAATACTTTTCACAAACCATATCGTTTCGCGAGCGGAACGCACCAACAAAACTTCTGTCTGGTCAAGTCGAAAAACAACTCGTGGAGAAAACGTCGTTGAGAGGTGATGAGAGTCAATGAAAGTTGTTGAGAGATAATGAGAGTCAATGAAAGTCGTTGAGAGATGATGAGAGTCAATGAAAGTTGTTGAGAGATGATAAGAGTCATTGAAAGTCGTTGAGAGATGATGAGAGTCAATGAAAGTTGTTGAGAGATTATGAGAGTCAATGAAAGTTGTTGACAGATGATGAGAGTCAAGGAAAGTTGTTGAGAGATGACGAGAGTCAATGAAAGTTGTTGAGAGATGATGAGAGATGATAAGAGTCAATGAAAGTTGTTGAGAGATGATGAGAGATGAAGAGAGTTGTTGAGAGATGATGAGAGTTCAATGAAAGTTGTTGAGAGATGATGAGAGATGATGAGAGTTGTTGAGAGATGTGGAGAGATGATGAGAGTCAATGAAAGTTGTTGAGAGATGATGAGAGTTGTTGAGAGATGATGAAGAGTCAATGAAAGTTGTTGGGAGATGATGAGAGTTGTTGAGAGATGATAAGAGGCAATGAAAGTTGTTGAGAGATGATGAGAGTTAATGAAAGTTGTTGAGAGATGATGAGAGTCAATGAAAGTTGTTGAGAGATGATGAGAGTTGTTGAGAGTTGAAAGAAAGTGATGAGAGTTGATATGAGTTGATGAGAATTGTTATGCGGGATGATGAAAAAGAATAAGAAATAAGAGAGTTGTTCTGAGTTCGATGATCAACAAACATCTTCCTCGTTCATCGCCATTACATAAGTAAGAATACGCGCGTACAACAACAACACACAAAATAAATCTCGTCGTAAAAACTTACCAGACTCTCTGCCGGCATTCCCATCAAAGTTGGCTCTTGTGTTTGTCTCCTGTTTCTTTTCCTTCTGCGTCTAGGACAACAGGTGAATAAACAGTTTTCCATTTCGAAAAAATTGTAAAATATCGCTCTGAAAAATATCGCTCCGAAAAATTTTGCTCTGTCGTAACTGACTTTTACAAGCAAAATGAGGCAATTAACTTTCGTAAGACAATTGGCAATTAGATTGCGCAGGGCTTGTGGCGTAATTAAGAAGAGAAAATTTACGCGCGCTTCTCCCCTCGTGATGACTTCCCTCGTGAAAAAGGAAGTTCGATCAGCAAAGTAGTTTTCATACGAGAATACTTTTCACAAACCATATCGTTTCGCGAGCAGAACACACCAACAAAACTTCTGTCTGGTCAAGTCGAAAAACAACTCGATATTTTCATTCATTTTAAATCGTTTTCTAGAATGGATAAGTACTTTTGTGAAATGGATAAGTACTTTCCTATCAGCGAAAGCCTTGGTACTGTATAATGTTTAGCGTTATAGGTATGTCCACATTCACCCTCTTCTGCTGGGTTGCCGTTTCTGTTGTACGTACGTTATTGCCTCCCCAGCCACAAAAGCCGATAACGAAAAGAGAACCTTCAGAACATGTCACTACCGTTCAGCTAATGTACCAACCCGTTGTACGCTGACATCTCGAGTCTCTGATGGATTAAAGACAAAGAGGTTAGATTCACGTGGACAGTAACCCTCAGGGATGAGGTTTTCCATCACGTGAACAGGGATCATCGAACATGTGAACAGTAGGAGGTGAATGAAAGCGCAGATACATATTTGATTAGGTATTATTTTAATATCGTATAAATCTGAGTAATTATGCTACATGGAGTATTTTAATTGACATGCAGATACAAAAGACATGGTCTAAAAAATAGTCCAAGCATTTGGTTAAATTAGTTCCTTTTGCCTTTTGTATGCAGTTAGAAGTTTTAAGTAAGGTGTATTGAATATAAGTTCAAACTTTCTTTGGGTTTTTTCGGAGGGTTTTCCGTATTCCAGCAGATCAAATGCTTCTTCGATTATTTTCCACACCTTCTCTCCCTTCGCCTTGGCTTCGTTGACCGATATCCATCAACCAAGCGATCTTGTTTTTTGAATGAGTCTAGTGGTTACAGTTTGACGGAGTTCAGATTTTTAGGAGTTCAATATGTATTCATAACAACTTTCAGTTAATTTATTCTTGTCGCAAACAAGGCGAGTTTTTTAGATATTTATCACTTTAAAATACAAAATGCTAGGATGGCCGAGTTGGTAAAGGCCTTAAGATCTAGTGTGCGTTGCACTTCGTGGGTTCGATTCCTACTCCTAGCACTATGCTTTTTGTATGTTTGCAGTCATTAAATTCTGGTAAAATTATAGTTTAATCGATATTAATTTTTAAGCAAGCGATATCATTAGAATAACTGTACCTTGTTTAAGACGAATTGACCTGGGCAGCTATGATATACACCTCTCATGGTCTGAAGCCATGCTGTCGTGGTTGTCAACCAAATTGCCAACATTAATTCGTAAACCTTGAATATTTCTTTCAACCGATTTTCTCGAACGAGTAGGTGTTAGGCGGAATTAAAAATTGCACGCGGTAGGACAATAAAAGGAGTCATTAAGCGGGCAAGTTCCAGCGGCATGTCTTTAATTGAGCATTAATTAACAATATGACTGAACCCATTGTCAGTTAATGACTTTGTCCAAACGCGGTTATGCATACATTACTGGGCATTACTACATTAATGACAGGACGAACCAGAACATGTTCGCCTCGATCTAAACAAAGGGTAACTTGCACATAAATATCGCACACCGAACAGAATTTTTCGAGAAAACACAACAATGGAGTGCTTACATGTAGTTCCTGCGATGCAAAGATATCTCAATCTGTAAGTGAAAATGTTTTCTTTTGTTTTAAGCCATTAAGGTTTTTTCCTTTCAAAATCGTACTTGATTTTCGTGTGCCTTGTACTCAAGTTTTTCATTTTTTTTATTCATAGATCCTTGAAATGATTCCTGAGTGCGATACCGAAGCTGGCCTTAATATATTCGAGGAGACATTTGAGCTAACTGATGAGGCCAGCTCTCCATGTAATTTCTGACAGATTAGAGCTACCGAAACCAAAGCGCGAGCACGGGTTAAACTGTCGCGTGCGGAAATTTGAAATCGAAGGAGAAAATGGAAGCCTTGAAAATCAGGGCAATGCTATAACTCGTGAAGGATATGCAAACGGTTATACACTGTTTGTGTTCGATCTCACTCCAGACTTGTGCCCTGGTCATGATCATAATCATGCACAACCAATTAGAAACGAAGATATCTCGATCAAATGTCAGTTTGGAACGGCCTTGGAGACGGGTAGCAAAGTATAAAACAAGAAATTCATTTTAACATGTACTTAGCAAGTTTAATATGTACTTAGCAAGTATGCGTGGGTTGAACCGATAAAAACAAGGACGGGGGAAAATCTAGTCAGTACGTTTGAGAAAATTCTAAAAAGCATTTGTCAAACCTGAAACTTTTCACTCGGTTGAAGGTACGAAGTTTACCAACAGGAAATTTCAAACCTTTCTAAAAGAACATGGCATTTCAAACCAACCTCATGAAGAATTGAATGTTGCATGATTGGCATGTCTAAATAAAGTTTATGTGTTTAGCTATGTATGTATCTAGCAAACAGTACATTATATAAAGTACCAAATTACAAAACTAAATTTGAATACAAACGTTTTATTTCAGATGGGGGTTGAACGCCGGAAATAGTTGTATTAAAACTGATATAGATTTGCGTTTTTAAAATTTATTCATCTAACGATTAATTACAGCAATAAATTATAATACATCAAAATCTCATTTCGTATCGCTTTTTGTTCGTTTGCCATGGATTCTTCCACATAAAGGCTCTATTAGTAAACCTTTTAAATCGCTTTTTTTTATTTTACTATTCTTCTTCGAACTTGAAATCGTTCAAAAGTCTTTCGCTAAGAAACTTTCTCTTATCAATAGCAGCTTCTATTGCTTCTTCGGGATCAAAATCATCGTTTTCAACAAATGCATCTTTTGTGTTCATTATTTTCTTATTTATCGGGTCTTTCTTTAGTTGTCTCATCCACAAAAGGCGCTCCAAATAAATTTTTTCTAATTCTTTCTGAAGGTTAGGCATGATGCTCGAGAAAGCTTTCCCTTTAGCAGAGTGCTCATCAGAACCACTGTTTGTAAGGCTTTCTTGCATTTCTTCGAAAGCTCTATTACTTCTTTGCTTTGCTTCTTCTATAAGCGGCATCCATGGATCCATTTTTTCTTCAGATTCTGATTCAGTCGTCGTCGAACTTTCAGACTGCTGACTGAGAGTGGTCGAGACATCGTCTTGGAAATCTCCACCTTCGCTGTCAGAGTCTGTTTGAGACATGTTTCTTTCTTGATCTCGTAGTGGACAATATTCCTGTTCGTGTCTGCGCAGATTGTAGCTGCGGCTAAAATGCCTTCCGCAAAATTGGCAGCTCATTCCCTTTGGACGGGCAGTGTAGAAATGCCTGGTTATTGAGCAGCAATGCAGTTTTATGAGCAGATGAGCATCTGCTCATGAGCAGTTATGAGCATGTGCCCATCTGCTCAACGGTACTTTTTCGTAGTCCATTTAATATTCTCTTTCTGCTCTTATTTTAATACATATATTCTTTATTGTGCTGCTACCGAATCACTCACTCACTAACTATCATATTGCAATTATTGTCTTCCTATATATTCGACTACGTGTCAATCATTATATTAGTATTACTTATTAACTAGCTCAATACTACACCATTCCCCTTATTTAAATTAAACGTTACTTCTAAATCAGTTCAATCAAATGTAATCACTATGTGCCTTTGTGTCCTTAATTATCCACTCTATTAATAATGTCTGATGGTAATGTTTGTCCATATCTTTCTGGTATTCTCCTCGCTCTGGTAGATCTTCTGACCGTACCCTCTCTTCTTTCTTCATTGTAGTGTGTATCTCTCACGTTCTCTTCATTGTCGGCATCGTTGTTCGTTGTTCTCGCTCGTATCATCACTGTCCGATTCACTTCCATTACGTTTCGGAATTTTCTTGAAATGGGAAATGTTCCGTTCTATTACATGACCATCTTTACTTCGTGCTTTTATCACAGTCTTCTTTCTGTATACAACCTGATATGGTGTTGTATTAAACTGGGATGTTAACTTGTTTTGGCTGTTTAACCAATACATGATCTCCAACGGTGATGTTGCTTTTCTTGGTGTTTCGTCGGTTGTTTATGTACGCTTCATTATATTCTTGGCGTTTTCTTTCTCTTTCACGCGCTTCGTTGTGTCTGTTCACAACAATTTTCTTGTACAGTACGGGTAATGTTCCTCGAACTTTTCGGTTGAACAATAACTCGGAAGGTGGAACACCAGTCGAACTGTGAGGTGTTGTACGATATTGTAATAAAAACCGACTCAATTCTTGTCTCCACGGTCGACTTTGAAGTTTTGCTGTTTGCAATACTTTTCTGAGACATTGCATGAAGCGTTCTGCTTGTGCATTACCTTGGGGCCATAACGGGTTGGAGAACTTGGGTGTTATTCCTAAGGTCTCTAAGTATCGTTTGTAGTCAGAACCGTTGAATGGTGGTCCATTATCTGAGATGATTTCGTCTGGAATACCGTGGGTCGCAAAGATTTTATCCAGTTTTGGTATCACTGCTGATGCTCTCGTGGAGTGTACCACTTCTACTTCGGGAAATCGAGAGTATCGATCAATGACTACGAGTAGATATTCTGTCGTAGGCAAAGGTCCATAGAAGTCAACATGTAAGGTTGTCCATGGGTGTGTTGGCATAGATGTAGTCGTAATGGGTTCAGGTGTTTTTGGTCGTCCCACTGCCTGAAATGGGATACAACGTTCAATTGTGGTCTTTACCAGATTGTCAATTTGAGGAAACCATACCTTTTCGCGTATAAGGCTTTTGGTCTTGTCTATGCCCAGGTGTGTCTGATGTGCTAAGTCTATTGCTCGCTGTTGTAAACCCGAAGGGATCACGATCCTCGTTCCTCGCAGTATCATGCCGTGTTGGGTCGTGGTCAGTTCGTCTTTCACAGGCTTATAAGGTTTTACGGCAGGTGCGTCCCATTTGTTTGTGCGTATAGCGTCCCAAATTGTGTCAACGTGGCATCAGCGTTGGTGGCTTCTAGGATTTCTGTCAAAGTCATTGTTTTTGGCACACTGTGATGTGCAATGAAATTAATGTATTGTTCTGTCATTCGTTCTTGTTTTCGACAACTTTCCGCTGTGGGGTGTCGTGACATGTAGTCTGCAGGATTGCTACTACCGGCTTTGTACACAATCTTAAATGCGTAGGGTTGCAAACGGAGAACCCATCGTTCAATACGTGCTGAGGCTTTGGCTGTTCGTTTGCCGTAGATTATCTTTAGAGGCTTATGGTCCGTCACCAGTGTAAACTCACTTCCAAAAAGAAACAAATGAAAGTGTTCAACTGCCCAGACAATGGCAAGCGCCTCTTTTTCTGTCTGCGAATAGCGTTTTTCAGTATCTGTCAATGCACGACTTGCATATGCGATAACTTGTTGATGATCGGCGTCTTTGTGTTGCGGTTTCTGTGATAGAATGGCGGAGATGCCTACAGGACTAGCATCTACGGTGACGTAGGTGTCTTTTCGTTTGTCAAAATACGACATGCAAGGTGCGGAGGTAAGTTTCTGCTTGAGCTCGTCAAAAGCTGCTTGATGTACTTCCGACCACTCAAAACGAATGTTTTTCTTCGTTAACTCTCTTAGGGAAGCTGTGATAGTAGCAAAGTTTTGTATATATTTGCTTCTATAGTTCGCCATTCCGAGGAAGCTACGAACTTCGTGCGTGTTCATCGGTTTTGGTGCTTTCAATAAGTCGTTGACTTTCTTGGGATCAGGTCTCGTCCCCTCTTTCGTAAATATCTGTCCAAAGAATGAGAGTTCGTCTTTTAGAAAAACACATTTGCTTTGGTTCAATCGTAGTCCTTTCGCGGTAAGGCGTTGAAGGCATTTGTCTAGGTTTTCGTCATGATCTCGTCTTGTTGAACCAAAAATAACAATATCGTCTGCGATATTCTTAACTCCTGGAAGTCCTTGGAGTGCTGTTTGGAGCGTATGTTGGAACATCTCTGCCGCGGTATTAGTTCCGTAATTTAGTCGCTTATATCTGTATAAGCCTAGGTGCGTACTAAAGGTTGTAATGTATCTCGATTGTTCATCTAATTCAAGCTGACGATACGCTTGACTTAGGTCTAATTTAGAAAAATACTGTGCACCATTCAATGAGAGGCTTATATCGTCCACAGTCGGTATTGGGTGTCGTACTCTTCGAATCGCTTCGTTCGGTAATCTCATGTCGACACAAATGCGAACTTGGCCATCTTTCTTTGGGACCGTAACTATAGGTGAAACCCAGGGAGTCGCTTCATCGTCGGGTACTCGTTCTATTATATCTTGTTCTTCGAGCTCGTGTATTGCTGTTTTTACCCTTTCTCGGATGTGGTAGGGTATGCGTCGTTGTGGTTGTGCTTTGGGTATTTTCGTTTCATCAATGTCTAGCTTGATTTGGGCGTCCTTG